GCAGTGCCTAGACTGCTTGGATGGCTCGAAACATGAACCCTTCACAGAGTGCGTACCTTTAAATCTTTGATCCAGAATCTTGGTTATCCTTTTTCTTTTTCCTTTTTCCTTTCCTTTTTTTTTTTTTTTGTTTTTTCGGGAGGGGGTCCATTGACGGGGGTTATGGGTGGCACTTGATATGGTTGCAGCTAAGTTTCGCAAAGGCACCATTGGATGGTGTTTGTTGTTGTTTATTTGCCTCAACATTTAGTTTGTTAGAAGTGACCATTTAATTCATCCTCCACCCAACATGAATCTGCTGTTTGAACAGGTTCACCTGCTGTGCGACTGGAGTATCGGTGTTTGTTCTTCTTCAAGCTTGAAATTTGAACTGCATAATTAAGCACTTTGTGCAAGCCTGCTGCCTGGCTGGAAAGTAAACAAAGCAAAGACCTCCGAGGAAAAAGAATCAGTCAACGGAGATAGGCATGGCATTCCTATTGAATTATATAGATCATAGTCAAGCTGAGGTGGCAGCCGATACCAATAATCGGGACCCAAGGACATCACCGGTGGTGGCTGGCCGTCATTGTTCTTGTGGCGGCGGTGGTGGTGGTGGTGGTGGTAGGGGTTGGGCCTGTCGGTTCTGCGAATTGTCTCCACGCCAAGCAAAGTCGAGGGTCTCGGAAGCAAGGCACTGGCGTTGAGGCATCAGATGATATATTCACCGTCGCCAACCCCTGTTCGCCTCCTCACTGCAGCTTCTCCGTGAGCTGATTCTCCAGCATACTCGACTGTTGGCGTTGGACGGTTAGATGTCAATCAGAGTGAGTATGTCTCTTACCGTCCACACCCTCTTAATAGCACATTATATTCCCAAACCTGCCAACAGCTGTCCATTTGCAGGATATGCCTGCAGCTAACTTTGAAACCTCAAAGCTGACCCTCTTTATTGCACCTTGTGATCGTCATTTTCCCGGCAATCTTAGCTGGGCACGAGACACGCCTTAATGGGTCTTCTGTCCAGCCCCCGTTAGTCACAGTCGCTTCTCATCTGATATAAGCTTCAGCGCGTCGCAGCTTTCCCTAGAGTGCTAACTAATATTGACATAGGTGGCGTGCACCTGAAGAGGATCATGTTTAGGCTCTGAGTTTTGAAATGGCGCGTTCAACTTCTTCACCTTCGCGGTCGCTGGCCGAACGTCGGATAAACGACGATGTGGACGACGAATCCTCAGCCCTCCTACCCGTAACTTCCCCTCCGTCGCCATCGACCCTTCGACGTGGCCACGGCATTCAGTTCACCGGATTAGGTCGACCCTCGAGACGCTCACAGGACATGGGCGAGAGATCGAGCCTCCTAGGTGGCGATCATACACAACGCTCCTATACCACGATACCGTCTTCGACGCGGCCGGATGCTTTCTTCAGGCATAACAGTGCGGCTGGAAGTGTTCGGATGTCCAAAAATCATAGCCGTGCAAACTCTCAAGCTACAAAATTTGGCCCTAATGGTGCGGTTGAATGGTCCAACAGCCCTCTTTCACAGGAGGAGACCCGATTTTCAGACAATCGGGTTTGGTACGATCAGTTTACGTCCACTGACTGGGTCCATGATACCATCGCCGACGGAATACGTCTCCGCGAGCTGAGAAGCCGAAGGGATATCCGTGGTCGATTTTTGGCTTGGCTGGACGGTGCCCAAGGATGGATTCTTGTCGCTGTCATTGGTATCGTGACCGCTTGTTTTGCATACTTCGTGGATGTGACCGAAAGGGCTCTATATGACCTGAAGGAAGGCTTTTGCACAGACAACTGGTTCTCCAGTAAGCATCACTGCTGTCTTGGCGAAGATGACTGCTCATCTTGGAGTACGTGGGCCGATATATTCCGGCTTCCAAAAGCAGACAAGGCTTGGGTAGACTTTCTTGCCTTCGTCGCCTGGGCTGTTATTCTGGCTACTGCATCCTGCCTTCTTACTCTTCTCACCAAGACAGTTGTTCCATCTTCAATTTCGCTCTCCACACTTGACGAAGATTTGGCTGCAGGAGGAGCTGGTTCTTCAGAGTATGTTTTCAGCCGAAATGACGGCAAAGCTGGCTCAGATGCTAGCGTAACCGATTTTGAAGAATCTGCACCGCCAATGGTCTACTATTCCGCGGCAGGCAGTGGAGTTGCAGAGGTCAAAGTCATTCTTAGTGGCTTTGTTATTCATGGTTATCTTGGAATGAAAACATTAATCATAAAGACTCTAGCCCTGGTTCTTAGCGTTGCATCTGGTTTGAGTGTTGGCAAGGAAGGTCCTTATGTGCATATTGCCACTGCTATTGGCAATATTTGTTGTCGCATATTTTCAAAGTATCAGCATAATGACGGCAAACGGCGTGAAGTTTTGAGCGCGAGTGCCGCCAGCGGTGTTGGTGTTGCTTTTGGAGCTCCAATTGGAGGCGTTCTATTCAGTTTGGAGGAAGTTAGGTATGTGATCTTCAAAAGCATGAACATGTTCGAGTGTGCTAACTTGTTCTACTTCTAGCTATTATTTCCCTCCTAAGACCCTTTTTCGAACTTTTTTCTGCTGTATTGTAGGTTCAATTTAAACCAAGCTCCAGACACACATCATGGTCCTTAACGCTTACATGCTGCAGGTTGCCGCCCTCTCCCTAAAATTTTTAAACCCATACGGTACCGGAAAGATTGTATTGTTTCAAGTACACTACGTCTCAGACTGGGAAATATTTGAAGTTGCATTGTTTATGATTCTTGGTGCGCTTGGTGGAGCTGCCGGAGCGCTCTTTATCAAAGCATCAAAAATTTGGGCTCAGTCATTTCGAAAGATTCCAGCTATCAAGCGATGGCCAATGCTGGAAGTAATTCTAGTCGCGTTATTAACCGGTATTATGAGTTGGTGGAACCGATATACGAAATTGGCAGTATCTGAGCTCCTTTTCGAACTCGCAAGTCCCTGCGATTACGCCCAGGCAAGCAATACAGGGTTATGTCCGACGAAGGAAGAAATCCCACAAGTAATTCGCTACCTTATTATCGCCTTTGTTATCAAGGCCTTCCTTACGATTGTGACGTTTGGCATTAAGGTACCAGCTGGTATCTATGTACCGTCAATGGTTGTCGGAGGGATGATGGGCAGGATCGTGGGCCACATTGCCCAATATTTTGTTGTTCACTATCCGAATTTCTTCCTTTTTGGAAGCTGCCCAAGCTCTCGAGGCCCTCTAGCGTGCGTTAACCCTGGAGTATATGCCCTTATTGCAGCGGGTTCCACGATGTGCGGCGTGACTAGACTGTCTGTGACCCTAGTTGTGATTTTGTTTGAATTAACCGGTAGCCTTGATCACGTACTTCCGTTCTCTCTTGCGATTTTATGTGCGAAATGGACGGCGAACGCAATGGAGCCTCTGAGTATCTACGTAAGTCCAACGATTAAACAATGGCTTCCCAGATTCCCTAACCGCAAGTTTAGGACCTCCTAACGGACATGAACTCTTATCCCTACCTCGATAACAACCTAAATCCGATTACCGACGCCGAACTCGGTGAAATCGTGCCTTCTGTTCGAAAATCCCGTATTATTGATATTACCGAGTCTCCTCTCGTTCCTGCCTCGGAGCTTCGTACAAAACTTGATATCCTCCTCCGTGGTGGGGAGTTGGATAGTGGTCTTCCTATCCTACGTGATAGCATTCTTGTCGGGTTTATCCCTGCCCCCGAGCTTGAATTCGCGCTTGATAAACTAGAAACAGAAGATGCGATGTGCTTGATGTCAATGCACTCAACATGGGCTGGCTGGAGCAGTGTCGAAGAGCAGGAGGGACTCGAACCGACGGATTTTACGCCTTACATTGACCCGGTATGCCCCACTATTTTCTCCTATGTCGATGAACTCGATTTCTCTTGGTACAACAGCTAATCTCATTTTAGTCCCCTGTGGCACTGGATGTTCATTCCCCGATCAACCTTGTTCATCAATGCTTTGTGAAACTAGGCCTACGATACATGTGTGTACTCCGTGACGGAAAATATGCTGGCCTGGTTCACAAAAAATGGTTCGTGAAATTTATGAAAGAAACCCACAAGTCCGAAGAAGCATGAGCTGCTTGGTAGCCCTGTCAGAGGTAAAACGCGTGTTCGCAGAAAGAGAGCGAGCGAGTGCAAGTACCTGGCTTTGGATGTTCTTTTGTCAATAATATTTCCTGTTGATATGTTTTGGTCCGCACCAGAAGTCCTTGTTTTCCCTTTTGGTGTGGTTCTTTTCTAGAATGCTAAGCTGGATAGCTGGCGCCTTTGTCTGATATCCTTATGGGCACCTAGAGATTACTGTTATAGCTTCTCTGTTCATTCCTTTTTTTTTTTTCTTGGTTTACATACAGATACAGGGCGAGCATGGCAAGATAGTGGCCTTATAGATACCTTTACGACTTGGTCTGAGACTTTATCGGTCTTGTGAAGTAGATAAAATCTACTAGGAGTCATAACATTATATGTTAGCTCCATCTATGCTGAGTGTTGATATTTCACTTGACATTGTGAGAAATAAAAATTCACAAAACAGGGTCGCTGAGTTAGCATCTCATTTACAGGCAGCACCGCGAGGAAAAAGGGATGGGAGAAAAAAAAAGAAAGAAAGAAAGAAAGAGAACATCTCCTGATCCTAGTGTCCCGCAGTGGAAATTTGTTTAAAATGCTTGGAAAAAAAGGCTCCCCCAAATGATTGATGCATTGGAGGCGCCTCCCCTCACCATCAGGGGACAGAACCCTGTGGTCATATTTAGGATAGCTTTGTAATTGTGAGGCTGGAATAAAGCAGGCTGCGGAGCTATCCCTTGAGCATGCTGGTTGTGCGGAATGGCTCTTATAGGTGATACATTGCTCATTGAGTCATTGACCATTCCTTTTTAATAGAAAATACATTCTTTAATAGATGTAGAAATAAGTACATGCCTACTTTGTGAAAAGGAAAAGAGGGTATCAGAAGAGATAAACTGGAAGCCCGTTTATCCCACATGTGACCTGATAACATACTCTGTGTTTCCTTGAACTTATATATATAGTAGTGTGCGCATTGCTAGGGATCATAAAATATACACCTTGACGGTGAAAATATCAGTAATATACTCTGCATTGCAAACCATACCCTTTCCCAAGGGAGTTCCTGACGAGAGAGAGGCTGTGTTTCAGTCTTCAGTCAGCCTCAAAACTGTTCATATTGGTAAGTGCACAAACCGATCGATGCCTGGTTCATTTTCTCTATCAGATGAACATGGTATGAGAGAAGTAAGTAAAATAAAGCAAGAATAGGCAAGGATATATATAAGCGCTAGCTAAGTCATAAGAGCTGGCTTGTAAGGAGACTATATTGCCCCTAATGAGGGAAGGAAATATTGTTTGGCGCCAAGTGACTCAGTTTTCCGCCCGGTGTTAACTGTAACTCACTGATGCTCTGCCCAAAAGCTCATGGTAAAGTGCGTGCTGCGGTAGTTCACTCCATCCCAGCAATAAATGTTAGAGATATGTGAGAAGTAGATCAAGCACGCGTGTATTTGCCACTACCTACTCTCACCTTCGCTCATACCCGAGGAAGCGAAGAGCAATGTCTTGATCCCATACCCAGCCTTCTGGAACCGCTTCGCCAACCCACTCTGATACTTCGGCCGCAGAAGCCCGTCTCCACTCATCGTTTCCATCTAGGTTATCAATCGGAAAGAAAGTATCGCATTCAAAGCCATTGCTGGATCGTGACGGATCGTTTTTCTCGGCTTCCGAAGTAGGCCGACGGACATCTGTCATGACGATCCTCATTTTGCAACCTAGGCCAGTGGGATCTAGATTTAAAGAGGATGCGTATATCTCGGCGCCGCCAATCACAAGGACGTTCCCGAGACTTCTTCGTCGACCATTCTGGGAAAACGGGTTGAAGCTATCTCGTAGGGCGAGAAGAGCAGATCCGATACCATTAGACACAAGGACATCAGGGGTCTCCTTCTCCAATTCCTCGATTGAATCATTTTTCTCCATAGACGAACAGCTCTTGGACTCTGTCCTAAATTCATCTTTCTTCTCCTGCGCTTTTTCCCACTCTCTTTTTCTCGCAGCCTTCCACTCTGCTGCCGCCCGCTCGCATACCATTCCCGACTCGTCGCGCGTTATAATAACATTCAACCGTTTCGGAAGTGGTCGAAATCTGCTAGGGAGGGAATCATATGTTTTCCTTCCCATTATCACCGCATTTAGGGCGTTAGGGGTATGGAGCTGGGGTTGGGCTGCGGCAGGCGGGCGCGTCGTTATGCGTGCAAAAAAGCTCATGTCAGACTTTATGCGAGGCCATGGAAGTGTTCCACAATTCCCGATTCCAAGGCGAGAAATACTGGGGTTTGTATGGGAGGTGACTGGTGTTGTTGCGACGACAAGCGTAAGCGGCGGTAGTTTTGCGGAGTTCGCGAATGCTGAGGGGCAATGGGGAGACATGGTAAAGCCCGCGATGATGGCCTTGATGAAAGGAAAACGCTACTCGTCCGTCTACTGCTTAATCAAATCGTGTACTAAGAATTCAGGGGGCAGATTTACCTGTAAGCACCGAGTTGTACGCTTTGAGTTTGAAGTGTGTGGTGGGAAGACGCGTCTCGCGACCCAAACCCAGCTACGATGCTTGAGCTGAACATTGTCTCTTGTAACACGACTCCATGATGCCTTTTGAATATCAAATTAGTTATAGAATAGAAATTCTGGTATTTTACATCGCCTGAAAACCTGGGTATCTCGAGAAAGCTGTCTCCACCAACTCCGAATAAATATGCCGCCATTTGGAGCCGTTTCACAAAACAAGCCAGTCCCGAAACTTCCCAAAAAACGCCGAGTAATACCAATCCCTCCATGCTTGGCTAAATGCTTGAAAGTCACTGTGAAAGAAACTTCAGCAGCCGTTCATCAATGGCTTTCTTCACCATTTCCACATCCTTGTCTAGCTGCTCCCTCCTCCTTACATCCCTCTCATCTTCGCCCAACATATCCAATTTTCCGAAAAGCCATAGTTCTTTCATGGTTCTGGTCAAGGCCAAGATGTCCTCCACAGCGCGGACCTAGAATTGAAAGAAACGATTTAGCTCACAATCGAAGGAAGGCTATAAGGTAAAGCAAGGCAGGACGGGCTCGAGGGTACGGACAAGAGAAGTTGATTCCACGTCAAGCTGATATGTTTCTATGGCCGAGGCTGTATGGCTGGGATTATTCACCTAGAGACAAGTTAGCTCCACTGGGAAGGACTGTACGCGAAAGAAAGCCCCTGGACCGTACCGTGGCAGCAGCCATGATATTTTCGAATCGCTGGAGAAGTTGGGCGATGTCCGCGTTTATACGGTCTGTTAGGTTGGTGTTAATTAGCACATCGTATGCGCGGTATTCCATTGTAAAACACACTTTGGAATGCTTTGGATGTCGGCTGCTGCGGATCCATTTTGAGGCCAATTGAAGGGCTAGAGTATTCAGGACTCTGAGCCGTTTTTCCATTGTTCGGGATGATGTACTTCATTTGATGCACGCCCAATACACCCACGTGTTTGCATTGTTTGATCGCTATGACCGTTACTAATCAGGACCACATCCGGACTGGCATAGCCCCTTATAGAGGTCAAGGGGTTATTCTAATGCAAGTATGACATGAAGCTGGTATGACGCGGAATTCATTGTCTTTGGGATACTAAAATATTATATCCAGAATACAGCTTGTCGACCATAAAAGCTCATTTCCCCTTTCCTTCAATCCTGTCACTGATCTTGTCTACAATCACATCACCCACTTTGTGCAGGATCTTGCTTGTCATGGACTCTACACTTTCCACATGTCGATTAGCCAATGTTTAGTTTAACTGCTTAAGGGGAACATACCGTTCCTGTCATCGTCACGGTGCCCGCTCCCATAGCCTGACGAGCTGTACTTATTGTCACGGGTGTTAGACCCGTATGAATCATCTCTCTTGCTAGATCCATAGCTAGTATTCCCGGAATAGCCCGAGGAGCCATAGGTGTTGTTATCATCTTTTTTGCCGGAACCATAGCTGGTACTTCCTGAATATCCGGATGACCCATACGTATCATTATCGCGTTTGCTAGATCCGTAAGGATTATCATCCTTCTTGCCGGAGCCGTACCCAGATGACCCGTATGAAGAATCATTATCGCGTCTGCCGTAGGAATCGTTGTCATCTCTCTTGCTAGAGCTGTAGGAAGTGCTTCCCGAATATCCGGACGATCCGTGTGTATCATTGCCGCGTTTACTAGACCCATAGCCGGATGAACCATAGGAGTCCTTGTCATTGTCACGTTTGCTGGAACCATGTGTATCATCACTATCTTTCTTGCTAGACCCATAGCCAGATGAACCATAGGAGTCCTTGTCACGTTTGCTAGAACCATATGAATCATCACTATCTTTCTTGCTAGACCCATAGCCAGACGAGACGTAGGACGTGTCCTTGTCGCGATTATTAGACCCGTAGGAGCCGTTATCATGACGGTTCGAGGAGTACGTATTATCGCCACCAGTGCGGCCTGAAGATCCATATGTATCATTGTCGTGCTTCTTGTTAGAGCCGTAATTGTCGCTTCCAGAATATCCAGATGATCCATAGGACTTATTATTGTCACGTCGACCGGATCCATAGGAATCAGAGCCACCAGTTCGGCCAGACGATCCGTAGGTGTCATCATTTCTCGTTTTAGAACCATAGGAATTGTTCCCGCTGGTACGGCCAGAGGATCCGTACGTATCATTGTCATCACGCCGTGATGAGTCGTAGGAATCATCATCACGTTTGTTGCTAGATCCGTAGCTTCCGCTCATTCCAGCACGGCCGGAGTTTGAATATGAATTGTCGTCGTCGTCTCTCCTGCTGGACCCATAGGTACCATCTCCACGAGAGCCCTAGCCAGGTCAGACCCGTTGGGAACTCGCCAGCACTCTAAAACTTACCCCGTGGGAGCTTCCGCGGCCGGAAGACTGGACGCAGAGATATCGTATTAGAGATATAGATGAAATATTGCTTTGGGGAAGCTTAGCCGACTTACACCGTAGTCGTCATCACGACGGGAAGACTATCCATATATCATTAGTAGGGATCATAAAGCCTGTTCAAAAATACTCAATTGCACGGGGCTTGAGGAATCGTAAGCGAATATGAAGGGGTCTCACGGCATATGAACTGTCATTGCCTCCATAGCCGCTGGTGCTCCGACCCTAGAATATTGAGGTTAAAATGCGAAAATCGGAGCACGTGTATAGGGGATTGGATACATAGTTGCCCTTATCGTTGTAAGACATGATTTACAAAACAGCAAGAAATCAAGCTGGGTTAAGCGGTAGCCGGGAATTTAATTTAAAAAATGGGTTCCAATTGAGAAATGCAATCGAGATAGTATGACGGATCACTAGGGAAAGAGAATGAGGGAACAGAAGGGAAAGCACCCGCTTTTATGTCCCGTTCAGCATCGTGACGAAGCTGTTGAGACCTGATGAAATAGTGGGCGCCAATCCCCTCTGCTCCCGACACCACACGCATGCCCCCTGTATGACCGATCTATGGAATATTATGGCGCAGCTGAGCATCAACCCCCCATCTGGGCAAGAACGAAACCCAATTCCAAATATAACTAGGCAAATACTGGGACTATGTGGCCCATCGCCCTCTATGTATGTCTTGATTCACTGCACATCACAGTGCCAAAGGTTGTTCTGCGTCGGCAGCCAATGGATGACGTTGATTCTTCCGTCGTAACCCCGCAGTCAACCAAAGATTGCCCCGCTGAACATCCAGATCCAGATCGAAATGCATGAAACGTACTCCGTAAAGCTCCTCGCTAAACTAGAAAGGCCGGGGTCATTTTTTGGCCCACTTCGTCGAAAATGCAACGATTTTGCTGGAGTGATCCCGGCGGATACATGTGGCTGGTTCCACCCGAAAGCCACTAGTTTGGGGATATTCGCCACATTCATTCAGGGGATGGCTGCATTGGTGGCTGTGCGACGCCACATGAATTCGTCCACTATTTGCCCCAAGACAACCTATACACTAGAAATACAACATGCTTGCTTGGAGTTGCGAGTGTCGCAGGTCCATGGAGGTATTCAGGGAGTTGGAAGTACTTTGGGTGTGGCGATTTTATCTAACATATTTAGACTAGTTTTAGACGAGTCAGCACGCACGGAAATCGAGAATGAAGAGCGGTATCAGAACACACCATAAACCGTTTATGGAAGTCGGATCGTAGTAAATCCTAGAGCTTCATATTAGCTTTGTTAGTTCTAGAGGTGACGGGCCGGTACATACGTTAACAAACTCCTTTTGTCCTTTGTTTTCTGTGCCTCGCGCCTGATTCTTGAAAACGACATCATCATCCCAGCGCCTTTTCACATTGAAATCTTGGGGGTTTAGCAAGGGATTTCCCCTTGCAATATCGTATTCGCGCTGCTCCTGTTCTTTTGCCGCCTTTTCCTGTTCCTGTACCAGGTTAGGAGAAACATTCCAAAAGCATTCAGGGCTTAGCGGGGCAAACCTCTTTCTCCTTTTGCTCAGCCCTTTCTCGCTTGATCTTCTCCAACTCCCTCATTAACTCTGCTGTTTCATCCTCTTCATCATCACTGTCAAACTGTCAGGATAGACGACCCTGAACGGCTTCCGGGAATGACGAACCTATCCTCTTCACTGCTCTCGCTCTCATCGGCATCCGAGTCCGCATCAATATCCCGAGTCTCCTCTAATATCCTACGGCGTTTTGCTTCAAAATCTTCGGCTGCTATAGGATCTCCACTATCCGAGCCATTTTCTAGAAGGTGTTTTGGGGTCTGTGCGTCTATCGACGGAGCTGGGGCCTTGTTTTCTGGGATACCAGCCTTTTTCGCAAAATGGGCCGCTTCCGCCTTCAAAAGCTCTGCTCTAAGATCGCGAACTTCGGTATCCGCATCGCCGCCTTGTCCTGGTTTCCTGTGATCAGCGTCAGTAGGAATAGCTTCCAAACCCTTATTCACGGTCACTCACCGAACTTTCAGGTGAGTATGTGCCGGAAGGAGTCGTTGATGATAGGCGGGTCCTCGTAGTGCTTCTTTTCCCCGGGCCTGCCATAATGTAAGTGCCTTGAATCGCAAGAGCAGTGCCGCATATCTGGCTTACAGGGTCAAATGTTGGTCGATGTGCTGCCAAAGTGTTAGCGAGATTCGTGCCAAGGCTATCAAGGATTAAGTAGAAATACACACCTGTTGTCATTGTGAGTTCCTGGCTGAGTCGAGAACTGACACTGCATTAGATTAAGACAATGTCGCTATCCTGTTCAATACGTAGAGAAGTGCAGTTTGGTTTGCTTTCTTTTGACGCGGCTTGAGGTCACAGCTGCGCCGAGTTTCGGAATAAATATACTCCGTACTGGAACTAATCGCTCACGTGATTCGTATAGATTACCTCCTAGGTAGACGAAATTGCCCTTTAGGTAGCTTAGCATATGACAAGCATACGAGTCCTCATATATACAGAGTACGGAGTATACAGAGTATATATATATATATATCCTCCATCATGACCTCAGGAGCATGTCGGAAAAATTGGCGCCCGAGCCCTTTGTTCTGTACACTAGTCTCTTTGTAGTCTAGCTCATTACAGAACAGGTCCCGGAGCAGAATGAAAAACGGGTATTGGAAAAATTATGATCACCGCAATAACGTTTTCCCGTTGTTTCTCGTGACGGCCCTAGTAGGTAGTACTTGATGGTGATCTGCGTGTCTCCCGCTCTCCAGTCGCAAATGCGGGCGAGTGAGCTTTAACTGAACGATGGCCAGGGATACAGAGCTCTCGGCAAACGAACGCTCATTTATTCTTGAGGCCTTGCATAACAATGTGCGCCTTGACGGTCGAGCCTTGGATCAATTTCGTCCCCTCAACCTTACCTTTGGCGACGAGTATGGGCACGTGAAGGTCCAGCTCGGGAGGACGACGTGAGTGATTACTATCTCAATTAATTTGCCTGTTGGATGCCGACGTCTTTCAATATAGCTTGCATTGCTGATCCCTAGGTTTTGTATAGTGTAATTGTTCGCATATCCGCCGAAGTGACAGCACCCCGCCCCGAGCGAGACAGCGATGGCATTTTTACTGTGTCTATTGAACTGAATGATATGGCTCTCCCGGGATTCGAGACAGGGCGGTATAAATACCCGAGGGTTTTATTCCAACTTTCGATTGGATTTCGTTTGCTCTGGCAGCGTATTCTAACGGTAGCTTTTTTTCTCTTTTTAGACAATCGGACTTGGAGACGCAACTCTCCCGTACGCTAGACAAAATTGTGCGTCGATCGAATGCTCTGGACACAGAATCATTGTGCATAGCGAAGGGTCTAAGCTGCTGGAACGTCCGAGCGGATGTTCACATCGTTGACGCCGATGGCGGCTTGGTCGACATTTGCTGCCTTGCCATCATGGCTGGTCTTCTCCATTTCCGCATCCCTGAGTCGACCGTTAGTGATGGGAAGGTAACTGTTTATTCTCCCGAAGAGAAAGTGCCGGTGCCTCTTAATCTCACGAAGGTGCCATTATCCATAACCTTCAACCTGTATGATGAAGGCAAAATCACGCTCATGGATGCAACTTCAAGCGAGGAGGCTGTTAGCGAGGGTGCTGTCATTATCGCCTTGGACAAAACGGGCGAAATAGCCCTCTACACGAAAGCTGAAGGAACACCTGCAGACCCCCTAAACATGGTTGCTTGCTCCACGGCCGCTTTGGCGAAGGTCAGAGATCTGAACGCCCTTGTTCAAAAGAGGTTAGGGGAGGATTCGAAGAAGCGGGATCAAAAAGGACTGCGTGCTGAGTCGAGCGCAGCGAATGAGAGATGACCGGCTTGCCGGATCATCCAACTAAGATCGGGATACCATATTCACAGAGCGCGTAAAGCTTGGGCGACTTGCAATGCAGAATCGCCCCCCGCAGGGAGCATCGATAGAAGCTTTGATGCAGCTGAAAATAGGAGCAGGGGCTGGATAAAGGGTTGCTCTCCGAAGGGGAAGGCTTGCCGAGTCGACAGTTTGCTTCTACTATGCCCCATAGGCCACAGAGGGTCGCCAAGGCCGGAATGCCATCCACTTCCGCACTTAAATGTTTGCGGGAGGACGGGCTCAGCCTGAGAGAGATGAAGATGAGAGCGACAGGGTGGCTGAGCAGCGGTGGATTTGCAGTCTTACGTGTAACTCATCTCTAGGGGGGGGGAAAAAAAGAAGAAAAAGAAAACCAAAAAAGGTCCAACAAAAAAAAAAAAATATGAAACCCGCCAAATAAGGCCTGTCTGTGTGTAAATTTTTGTATTACGTATAGAGTAGAGCATACAGGAGAACTGTAATCCGATTCTCGCATCAAGATTATTTACGATATTCACCTTTGAGATGTTCGTTGAAGCACGGAGCGGGCGATGCCATCGTCGCCGCTGACAGACTGAACCGAAAGGGGTGGGCTGCGAGCTTGGAGCCAGTCAGCGTGGTTGGATTCAGCCAGCGTTTCAAGGGCGTGAGCATCAACCATCTTCCGAGCTGTGGCTGTATGGAACCGCATTCATCTGCAGAACACATCTCTTCAAACAGGCCGCTGAATTTCTTTATAACATCGGAGGCAGAAATATTCGTAACGATACCCACACTTGAGGATTTTACTCCGGCAACCGTTTTCGTGCGCAGTTTTCCCCCCGATAACCTGCCCAGACCCCAACGAAGCCGCACAACGCACGCCGCCGAGAAGGACAGTGACTGTCTAATTTCACGGATAGCAGGGCCCTACTCGCATCGATCCCCTTCTCTTCCCTTTTTACTCCTGCCTTCCATGCTGCGACATATTTCAACCATAACGGTATCGCGGTAATCCCGTTGCAACCCACGGAGATATGACCAGCGGTAGGCCACCCGGAGGCCATCCATCCGCTGCCGGCAACAATGATCTTCTCCAGCTCGATGACACTCCGGTATACGGTTCCGGACAGCGCGCTCCCGTGAATGATGACCATCTCCTTGAACGTTATGACATCGACGATTCTGATCTTCCGTCTCCACGCGCGTCAGTCTCTTACGATGAATTTGTTGGCGGCAGGCATCCGTCCACAAGGGCCGGTGCGTCGTCCAATGTCCCCCATCAAGATGGCCTACAGCCACCATCGGCGAGTAGCCAATTCTATGGCGGGGGCCCAGCTACTCGTACCTACTCCCAGACATCGGACCTGCACAACTATCAACGATATTCCGATATAGACGACTTTGACGATGAGAGAGGGTATTACCCCGAGGCCGACCTGGATGGAGACCACCTCCCGATCCGAGATGCACGGGCAAGAGATCGCAATAGTATCCTTACCTTGGGAGGAGGGCTTGTGGGGAGAGCGAAAACTATGCTTGGGATGGCGCCTAAATATTCTGAAATGGACCTGCCTTTGACTGAAGCCGGGGCGCGAGCAAGGGCAGATACGGTCGGAACAGAAGGTGAACCAAGACCAAAATCAAAGAGACGCAGCGCTGGCGATTTCAAATTCGGTTTCGGACGAAGAAAGCCAGATCCTGCGACGCTCGGACCCCGTGTCATCTACCTCAACAACTCCCCTGCAAACCAAGCCAACAAGTACGTAGACAATCACATCTCGACCGCCAAATACAATGTCTTTACATTTCTTCCGAAATTCCTCTTCGAACAATTTTCGAAATACGCCAACCTTTTCTTCTTGTTCACCGCTGCCCTCCAGCAGATACCCAACATTTCGCCGACCAATCGCTACACCACAATTGGCCCTCTCATAATTGTCCTTCTTGTTTCAGCTATTAAAGAACTGATAGAAGACTTTAAACGCAAAAATTCTGATAAATCTCTTAATTATTCGAAAACAAGAGTCCTTCGTGGGGCCGGCTTTGAAGAAACCAGATGGATTGATGTTTCCGTGGGCGACATCCTCAGAGTTGAATCGGAGGAGCCGTTCCCCGCAGATCTTGTACTTCTCGCAAGTTCGGAACCGGAAGGCCTGTGTTACATCGAGACGGCTAATCTAGATGGAGAAACAAACCTGAAAGTCAAGCAAGCAATACCTGAAACCTCTGACCTTGTCAGCCCAGGTCAACTTAGTAGACTGGCTGGTCGAGTGAAATCCGAACAACCCAATAGCAGCTTATATACCTACGAGGCCACATTAACCATGCATTCTGGTGGTGGAGAGAAAGAACTTCCACTTGCTCCCGATCAGTTGCTTCTTCGTGGAGCAACGCTACGCAATACTCCTTGGATCCACGGCGTGGTAGTGTTCACGGGTCATGAAACAAAGCTCATGCGCAATGCAACTGCAACCCCGATCAAAAGAACCGCTGTAGAGCGTATGGTAAATTTGCAGATTTTGATGCTTGTTGCCATCCTCATCGCTCTCAGTCTAATTAGTTCCATTGGAGATTTGATTGTTCGAATTACGGCTTCAAAAAACCTCTCTTACCTGGACTATGGAAACGTCAATGCTGCCGCCCAATTCTTCTCGGATATCTTTACCTACTGGGTTCTCTACTCCAACTTGGTACCTATCTCCCTCTTCGTCACGATAGAAATCGTGAAATACTGTCACGCCTTCTTGATCAACTCCGACCTCGATATCTACTACGACAAAACGGACACTCCTGCTACCTGCCGGACCTCTTCTCTCGTGGAAGAGTTGGGACAAATTGAGTATATTTTCTCAGATAAAACTGGCACTCTAACCTGCAATATGATGGAGTTCAAACAGTGTTCTATTAGTGGCATTCAATACGCAGAAGTGGTTCCCGAAGACCGGAGAGCAACCGATGACGATGATTCTGATACGGCTATGTACGATTTCAAGAGATTGAGACAGAATCTGGAATCGCACCAAACTCGAGATGCTATCAAACAATTTTTAACTCTACTTTCTACGTGCCACACAGTTATTCCTGAACGCAAAGATGAAAAACCAGGCGAAATCAAGTACCAGGCCGCGTCTCCCGATGAAGGAGCGTTGGTTGAAGGGGCAGTTCTGCTCGGTTATCAATTTACGAATAGAAAACCTCGGTCCGTGATAATCTCCGCCAATGGAGAGGAAGAAGAGTACGAATTGCTCGCCGTTTGTGAGTTTAACTCAACAAGAAAGCGTATGTCAACGATTTTCAGATGCCCCGACGGAAAAATTAGAATATACTGCAAAGGTGCCGACACAGTGATTCTCGAGCGGCTTCACTCAAACAACCCAATTGTGGATGTCACTCTTCAGCACTTGGAAGAATACGCATCGGAAGGGCTGCGAACATTGTGTCTTGCCATGAGAGAAATTCCTGAGGAAGAGTTCCAACAGTGGTGGCAGATCTTCGATAAAGCTGCCACGACCGTCAGTGGGAACAGAGCGGAAGAACTTGACAAAGCAGCTGAACTCATCGAGAAGGACTTTTATCTTCTTGGTGCCACCGCCATTGAGGATCGGCTGCAGGACGGTGTTCCGGACACGATCCACACACTTCAGCAGGCAGGGATCAAGATCTGGGTGTTGACTGGGGATCGACAGGAAACAGCTATTAACATTGGCATGAGCTGCAAGCTAATTTCAGAAGATATGACTTTATTGATCATTAATGAAGAGAATGCAGAAGGGACGCGCGAGAGTCTGTCAAAGAAACTGCAGGCAGTACAAAGTCAAACTGGCTCAGACATAGAAACTCTTGCACTTGTTATTGATGGGAAGTCGTTGACATTTGCTTTGGAAAGGGATATGGAGAAGCTTTTCTTGGACCTTGCTGTTCAGTGCAAGGCAGTTATTTGTTGGTATGTTCTGTTTTCACTGATTGATCAAGCACTTTCATATGTTAATACTCGTATAGTCGAGTGTCACCTTTGCAGAAGGCACTGGTTGTTAAGCTTGTCAAGCGACACCTCAAATCACTCCTCCTTGCAATTGGGGATGGCGCGAACGATGTCTCTATGATCCAAGCCGCCCACGTCGGTGTTGGAATAAGTGGTGTTGAAGGCCTTCAAGCAGCGCGAAGTGCTGACGTTTCAATCGCTCAATTTCGCTTCCTTCGGAAATTACTATTGGTTCACGGTGCATGGAGTTATCAACGGATTAGCAAAGTGATTCTCTACTCGTTCTATAAAAATATTGCGCTATACATGACACAGTTTTGGGTATGTATCAAGAGCATCTTTCTCGTTCCATACATCCTTCTAACTTCTTCCAGTATTCGTTCCAAAACTCTTTTTCTGGCCAAGTCATATACGAATCATGGACTCTTTCCTTTTATAATGTCTTTTTCACCGTCCTGCCACCTTTCGCGATGGGCATTTTCGACCAGTTCATTTCCGCAAGGCTGCTTGACCGATATCCACAACTCTACCATCTCGGACAGAAGGGCGTTTTCTTCAAGATGCACAGTTTCTTTTCTTGGGTTGGAAATGGTTTCTACCACTCTCTGATCGCCTATTTCCTTTCGCAAGCAATCTTCCTTTACGACCTGCCAACCAAAGATGGAACGGTTGCGGGGCATTGGGTTTGGGGTACAGCTTTGTATACCGCTGTTCTTGCCACTGTTCTCGGGAAAGCTGCCCTCGTTACCAACATCTGGACCAAATATACGGTGCTCGCCATCCCCGGATCTTTCCTCATCTGGATGGGATTCATACCTGCATACGCTTACGCTGCACCAAATATCGGCGCCGGATTCTCCACCGAGTACCGAGGTATAATTCCTCATCTGTTTCCCTTGCCTACGTTCTGGCTCATGGCAATCGTTCTGCCTGCGATCTGCCTTCTTCGTGACTTCGCCTGGAAATATGCAAAACGGATGTACTACCCGCAAAGCTATCATCATGTACAAGAGATCCAGAAGTACAACGTCCAAGACTACCGGCCACGCATGGAACAATTCCAGAAAGCGATCCGCAAGGTCAGGCAGGTCCAGCGAATGCGCAAGCAGCGTGGATATGCTTTCAGCCAGGCCGATGAAGGCGGGCAGATGAGAGTTGTTAATGCGTATGATACGACGAGAGGTCGAGGACAATATGGTGAGATGGCGAGTTCAAGACCAATGATTTAGGTTCATGTGCTTTGTGTCTTGTTCCTGGCTTAATACTTTGGGAATATATATGGTTTGTGTCACGGTTGTAGCAGGCGTTCTTGATCTGATGATTATTTTTCTAAACCTTTACTGCCTAAGCTTCTTGTGCTTTGTATTTATACCTTTTGATTTATTATTGTCATCGTTCTATATTGATTAGGATGGCATTTCCTTCTCTTCTCTAGGCGAGCATCTTGCCCAAGGAGTCCCTTAAGGCATGGTTGTGCTCCAGTAAATGCTCCTTTTGGTTGTTTATATGATTTGGTGTACTTTTTCTATCTTGACCGACTGTAAGATATATGGACTTATTTCTTTATGGCCGAATCCATACTTTAACCAACAATGAGTCAGCTTATACCGATGGACAACGCCGACTCTGGTTACGTTTGCACTGACCCTCGGGACGTTTAATTGTAGATGGATGTTATTTGATATCAGGAGTAATTTTCTTAAGAAACATATGTAAGATCCCCTATCTTTGGGGAAGGAATCGTTATCATAATAAACTATTTCACTTTTCAAGTCTCATGAGTTGTCATAAAAAGAGCTCTTGCATCGCAGATTTTGAAATATGGGAGGAAAGAAACCAGTTCTTCCTCCGATAGATGGATATTCGTTACCTCGTTCCTGAAATTCAATAACCATAATCATCGTGTACACCTTTCTTCCGGGGGCCTCCATCCTACCCCCAATCCTTCCATAACCAATCGCTCCCTCTCCTCCCAGGTTTCCCCCTTACTCTCCAAGTCGATCACACGTCCTCCACTACCCTCCCGTGCTCGAATGCCGCTTGAATCAAATTTCCAATTATAGGCTTTCTTGGCATATCGACGCAAATCTCTTTCGAATGTTGTGTCACCGGACCAGCCGAGCACTGCGCACCCAACACTCCGCCACGGCGAGATGATAATGTCAACGCGTCGATGGAGGTTTGGGTTCCTTTTTCTGGTAATAGCCGGCTCTTGTGACGGAGTTTCAGAAGTGCTTTTATCGCTGAGGTCGATTTTATCGTCCTGTTCGTCGGAGCTGGGTTGGGCTATTGTCTCATGCTCTTCTGACATCGACTCGGAAGCTGCTGATGAATCGAAGTGTGGATCCTGCCATACAACCAGGGCTTTATCAAGCGTGTCGAAATGGTGCTTCCCTCTTGCAGTTTCACCGCGGTACGGTAACGGTTGCTGATCGCGCTGGGTGTTGGTAAGATGTAATGCGAGGGTATGGGTGATCCAACCGTCTTCCTCGAGACTAGATACCACATCGTAAACAAGGTTGTGCGTGACACCTTCGTCGCGATGGCTGAGAATGATATCTACATCTCCACTCCGTTCTTTGCCTCTTCGGTAACCACCGACAATAATGCATTCGATGCCTTTCTCGTCAAAATCAGAACCTGGTCTCGCTCTGCGAGCATGCTCAAGCACAACACGCGAGATGGATTCGACTTCTGCTCGTGGGATACCCTCCATAAATTCATCGTAATATTTAACTCCGATCTGTTGAACCCGAGACAAACTATCCCAGCCATGTTCAACGACATCATCAAGGTCGCGCCAATTTCTGTGGTAGTAGAAATCCCGGGCTGACTTTGTACCGACTCCCCATATGTTGTAAAACATGTTCAAGGTGGAATACACAGGATCGGTATCAAGCTGGTTCGCTGCTTCCAGTATTCCATCAGGACTCTGCTTCCATTCTGCAAACCAATTTGCTATCCTTGTCTCACATCCGGGGATAGTCAGGACTTCTTCGGGTGTTTGAAGAGGGTAAGGATACGCAGCAATCGCCGCTATAGATGTACTGTAGGCTCGCACCCCAATCTCATCCAAAGTGAGCTCTCGGATTCTCTTGATCTTGAGAAGCTGATTGATGAATCCTTCGTTGGGTGGGTGGAGAGGGGCAGACCGAAGGCATGCATACAGCACATTGTCACGAACCCAATCTGGAGCGGGAGGGAGAGGAGTAGCTCCTTCATGTTCGGACGTTGATTTTCGGTATAGCTTCGGGCGTAGCTTCTGGCTTGGCCTGCTTCCATGGTTTAACCTTGCCCGTTGAGATTTCACGGACGGAACTTGGAGAGGCCGGGGGACTGTCGCTGCATCTGCCCTCGCTCGTTCGAGGATCCCTAGGGAATCTCCATCACTTTTTCGAGAAGGAGTTTGAGGCGTGGAATGGACGGTGTCACATTCCAAACCCAGTCCCAAAGGGGATGTGGTATAGCTAGTGGTATCGGGCCGCGGTTGCTTGCTTGCATAATAAACGGTATATGGTTTCATGGGCAAGGAGTGCCTCGCTGCCAGTGATTCACGTAGCCATTCCAGCCTCAACACCCGTATATCGTTGTCGTGAGGTGGAGATAGCGGAGGATCAATTGATGCTGGAGCCAAAGCAGCTGGAGTTGCCGGTGGCTTTAATACCTTTTTATGACTTTTCTTCGGAGTATCCAGTCTATCGGACCCTTCGAACTCAGACACTGAATCTAGATCAATAGTTTGAGGTTCTTTCACTGGTGAAACCGTGCCTGCAGGGCTATTAAGGCGACGCCTTTTCACCGGGGGGGTACAGGGAGTTTCAGCCGGATGAGAGATCTCCTCGGTCCATAGACCCCTTGCACGAAGTTCTAGGGCAGCGCGCTTTTTTTGAGAGAGCTTCCCAAGCACCAAGCCTGCCTCCCTAATGTCATAGGTCACAAGAGCACCACAGGCTGTCAGGGTCTCCTCCACTCCATGTAATTCTTCAAGGGTGAGATGCGTCGGCAAGACAAATATCGATGGACACGGTTTGAGATCAATTGTGACCGCCTCCAGAGAAGAGAGCCTAGGGATATCACGATTTGGACTTTTCATTTTGAGAGTTAAGGTGTATTATGATCACCCTCATTGCATGACGTGTGGGTGTCCAGTCGCACGAGATAATCCCGGCGTCTCGAATTTGGAGATCATAGGGAGTAGGTTACTCTCAGTCGCGACTCGAATGAGGCGGCTTATCGATGAAGGACAGAAGAAAAACCGAAAGTAAAATGAATTAAGACAACCCGAAAGCTATATACAAGTTGAAGGTCGATAAGAAAAAAGGGAAAGGGGAAGAAAGAGAGCAAGCAAAGGAGACCAGGCCTCTCCATACCTCCAACATCATCGCCGCCAGGGCCTGATGACGATGATCAGTAATCAGATAAGAGATAAGACTCGGCGCGGATAAATAAAAACCCATAGCAGAAATGGGGAGGATTTGTAAACCGTAGATCCACTAGTCCCGATACGTTTACGTCGGAATATACGTTTATCCGAATCCACGGTTGTTTGGAAGTTTAAAAATATATACGTTCCGAATTCGGAAACGTAGCTTCCGATCCTCAACGTAGAAATCGGGAAACGTTCAAACCCCTGATCAACGAATATATCTAGGAACGTTCGGGATACCTTTTCGGGTTTATAAATGTTTATAGTATAGAAACCATTATAGTATAGAAACCATTATAGTATAGAAACCATTATAGTATAGAAACCATTATAGTATAGAAACCATTATAGTATAGAAACCATTATAGTATAGTTACCCCAGCAGACACTGGAGAGATTTCAACTAATGCGCAATACTACATACATCAAACCGCCCGATCCACCTATAAAAAGGAAACGCTCCAAGTGCAGTTGAGAAAGGTAGTCGGCAGAGCAGAATCCAGTTCGAGCCTTTCGGAATCTTTGCTGACAGGTATTGTGTAAAGGCTTGGTTTGCGGATTGCAGGTAGGCCGATTATATGAATCTCATCCCGATTCACCTGCAAAATCGGCAAATCCAGTACCCTCTCGCGCCGAATTTCATGAGCAGAGAACATGGCAAAAAAAACCCTCCAGCAGCTGCCCTGGTTGTGGGTGAATATGCACCTTATTTGCCCGATCTTGGTGCCCGACGCACGAGTATACTCAACCAGATCATCGAGTTTCAATGTAGTGCGATGCGCATCTCCATTGAATGTAAAGGTCAGCTTTTGAAACAATCGGATTGGGGTCGAACCTCCGCCAAGCATATGTTGATATGCCCAATCACTGCTGTATGAAAGTCGGAGCTTTTGCAAAAAGGAATGCGTAATTGGTAGTTCGGAAAGCCGCGCGCTTTGTAAACCAAGCAATTCCATGACTTTGCGGCTAGCTGGTAGTCGGCAGTAGGCATTGATTAAGGTATGGAAGGGGGTGGTAGCATATGAATCATCGGCTTCGTCGGCATTCTCATCATCATCTTGTTGCTCATTGTGTTCCGATCGCACGAGGTCTTGCATGAGAATCGGACATTCGCGATGAAGTTGCTTCATCTGGCTGCTGATATAGGGTTCCGATTCCATAAGAGCCCCATCAAGAACCAAGGATATAGTGCGTTTGAAGCTCTCATGAATCAGTAAAACCTTTTCAACATCACGCTTGTTGGTTCGCTGCACAAATGCTTTGTATTCACGGTGTTTATCCTCCCCGATCAGTACATTGCAGTTATTTGGCACAGCATACTCCTTTGCCTGGTCGGCATAGTGCACCCCGATATGCATGTTTGGTCGGTGTTTCAAAGCATGTAACATCTTACCTGCTTTCGGGGCAATACTGACAGTGTTGATCGAAATGTCCTCCGTCGGGGGTGTCACAATCCGATTGAACACTGGTGAATTCTGCCGTGATCTCAGCATCCATACTGCCCGGCTAGCCGACCGTGGTGCCTCGGCAGCCATGACAGTAGCATCTATCACTTTCTGAAGCATAGTTCGGGCGTTGGCAACCACACTTTTAAGTTCATTGTACCCGACAGATGTCTGAGAAGTCAATAGTGAATTGCTTCTTGCAATAGCACCAAAGGTTTTAGCAAGCAACAAACACGGAATGTCGGGATCAATTGACTGTTCACCAAAGGAGTTATAGAGAGCCTGCTGAACAACAGTCTGAATCCAGTCAGGCTTTAGGGCAAAGCGGAGTATAATTGGGATCACAATTGAAGCTCGGGCGTGTTCCTGGATTTGGTAGGACTCCAGATGGGTAATTGGGGACTGCAGTCGGGCCCAGCGTCTCCGAAATGGAAACCTCTGTAGGGTTTGGCAGTATTCCTTCTGCCCCTCAGGTGTCAATATATGTGATATCAATAATGTATGCGCAATTTTGGACAGGCCCGAAAATTCACTATGACAGGGGTCAGAGGGGAAAAATGTCACCAGATTCAGTGCCGGGCAGATCTTCAAAACTGGGGGACTTTCCTTGGCCAATCCATGGGTCTTCCACAGTGCTTCTCGCTCGCGAACAGTCCGCTTCGCCTCAATTTCGGCCCGCAAATTGAGTAGCTGGTAATGGTATCGGCCGTGTTTC